AAGTTACAATCAAAGCTGTGTATACAGTAGCAATAATAGTCTTTGCAAATTAATATTCATTCACATAATGTTAGCATTAAATAAAGTGCGATTATTTACAAGTATTAACAAAATATATTTAGGCTGTGTTTGGTTTGGAGATTTTTGGGAGTTTATGCTATTTTTTTTTTTAAATATTAAATTAATTTTTTTATAGTTTATTTTTAATATTATACTATTTTAATAATTTTATATTTAAAACACTATATGTAACATATGTTGAAATTATATTAAATAATTGTTTAAATTAATCATTTTATTGGTTAAAATAAACATAAATCTTAAATTTCAAACAAAGATAACCTACAATAACGTAATTAAAATGGTTTTTTGAAATCAGCTAATTCATTCCTTTCCGACTTATTTAGAATTTTTTTAGTTATTTAATTAGTCAAACACATAATTTAATAGTATTATTTAAATTAATTTTTTGAAATAAGTTAATAATCAGTAAAATCTTATTTTATTTTTTAAATATATATATATTTGTTTATTTGAAGTTGGATTTGAATTTAAATAGTATTTTGATATAATTTTATGAGATTAAATAATACTCTCTCTTGTTCCGTAATAATGAAATATTTTCTGTTTTTATTGTTCTATAAAAATTGAAATTTTTTATTTTTTGATAAAATTTACTAAAAAAAAATATACTTAACAAATACTTCCTCTCTCCCATAATAATTGTAATAATTTTTATTTTTATCAATTGACACTTTTTTATTTTAAAGTAAAATGTACTAAATCAAAATATATTTAACAAGTACTATAAATTTAAGGGTAAACTGTATTTTTAATCCACCCTTTTATCATTTTAGTCCCGTAAGTGGAGCCTGTCGCAAAGTAGTCCCATAAGTGAATTTTTTGCTGTTTTAGTCCTCCGGCGCCGGAGACGCCCGCGTGACTCGCCGGAGGTGACGTGTCTGCCAGGTGTCACTGACCTGGCAGACACGTGGATTTTTTTTATTTTTTTTTCATTTTTTTAAAACTTATTTTTAATTTATTTTAAATTTCATTTGTATATTTTTTTTATTTAGTCCAATTAAAAAAAATTAAAAAAATGAAGAAAAAATGAAGAAAAAATGAAGAAAAAAAATCCACGTGTGCGCCAGGTGTCGCTGACCTGGCGGGACACCTGGCGGACACGTCACCTCCGGCGAGCCACGCGGGCGTCTCCGGCGCCGGAGGACTAAAACAACGAAAATTTTTTACTTATAGGACTAGTTTGCGACAGGCTCCACTTACAGGACTAAAATGATAAAGGAGTCCAGTTACGGTATTAAAAAAACAGTTTACCCTAAATTTAATTAACTACATAACATATAATATCATAAATCATATAGGACAATTCAAAATTCTTTTATTTCTATTTTTTTCTATAATAACTTCCTCTATCCCAATTTTTAATTTTTGTTCGCCCTACGTAACTTGTTCTTCATTTTTTTTTAAATATAACTATACACTTTAATTATATTTTAAATTTTAAATTTTTAATATTAATTAAATTATTTAATTATCTTGATCTTAATATATAATTATTTTTACTAATACACTTTTTAATTACTTACTAATCATACTTTACTTAAATATCTGTTTCTACAGTAACACACCCAAATTATATAGGATGAATGGAGTAAATATTTATCTCCATTTAAAAGCTCACATATTTTATAAAATTAGTTTAGATTAATTATAAATAAATAATATTTTTTATTTACTTGTATTATATAAAAATTTATTTTCTACAAAATGATAATTATATTGTATATATTTTTTAATGTGATATAATTTTAAAATATCTTAATACGTATTCTAATTTATTTAATCATATATATTAAATTAATTTTAAAATTATTAATATTATTAATTTTTTAAAAATATAAAATAATATCATACTCCGCCGGTCTATTTTAAATGGTCTTTTGGAATTTTATTATAGATTAAAAAATAATGATTTGTAGAAATATGTAATATGTTTTGACATTTTTATCTTTTAATTTTATATTTTTAAGTAAAAATTAATGATGTTTTAGTATTAGTGTATAATTAATTTTTTAAAATAAAAAAATATTTTGAAGTGAGACAGATAAAAATAGTAAAAAAAATACTTTAAATTAAATAATTAAACATAATTTCCTTAGCTATAATAAAAAAAGTTCAATTATGTTAAAATGGGAGGAATATATATACAGGTCTTTCTACCTTCTATATTATTTAAAAAATAAATATATATTTTATCCATCCTGTGATATTTGACTAGATATAAATTTTAAAAAATAAAGTTTGATAAATTAATAATAATGAGTTTATTATTATTATTATTATTATTATTATTTTATATGAATAGTAGTGTTAATAATTTAAAATACGAATTAATATATATAGTTAACGAAAATTTAGAATATTAATTTAAATATTTAAAATATATATAATAACATTTTATGTGATATAAATAAATAAAATAGGAACTTTTTAATATAGATTAAAATATTTATTTGTTGAATATAGATATAAATGATACACGATGATGTTATATGTTATGAAATTTTTTAAGTTAGATTTATATTTGTTAAATATATTTTAAAAAATAATACTTCTTCCGTCCCAAAATTATAGTCTTAATTGGGTTGGACATGAGATTTAAGGAATATTGATATTATATTGGTAGTTGGTAAAAAATATAGGTAAAAGACTTTTTTTCCTTTTTAAGTATATTAGTGTAAAAATAGTGGCAATTTTGTAATAAAAATGAAAAAATAGAGGTAGTTTTATGGTGATATGGTTATTTATAGAAATAAGACTATTCTTTTAAAACGAACACAAATGGTAAACAAAACTATTGTATTGGGACGAAGTGAGTATAATTTACTTTTTTATTTGAGTGGTGTAAAAATATAAAATATATTAATTATTTTTTATTTTACAAATATTACTCCATCGTCCTACATAATTTGCGTTTTAAAGTATACTTATACAATTTAATTTTATTTTAAAATTAATAATTTATAAATTTTTATTTAAAATAAATTATTTAGTCACTTTAATATTACACTATAGTTATTTTTATTAAATTATAATTATTTTTATTAATATAATTTTAAATTATTTATTAATTAAAAATACTTAAAACTTCCTAACAAAATACAAATCAACTTGAAAAAGATAGTACAAATTACTCCTTCCGTCAGTCTTGTTTATCATTTTTGTCCGTTTTAAAACAATAGTTTTATTTTCATAAATAACTATATCACCATAAAATTATCTCTACTTTTTCATTTTTATTACACAATTGCCACTACTTTTTACACTAATACATTCATAAAAAAAAAAAATTTATCTATATTTTTTATCCACTATTAATATAATATTAATATACTTTAAATTGCGTGTTGAGCCCAATTAAAACTATATTTATATAAGACGAGTAGAGTATATAAAATAAATCAAAATAAAAATATATTGTAAAATAATGGATGGGAGGAGTATTATTTTACTACCCCACTTAAATTTAACCTAAAATAAACACTCCAATGTTGTAATGATGACTACATACCTATCATTTTGAAATGAAATTTGAAAATCGTAATTAATTTTACAGAGGCTTTTAAATCAAATGAATTGATTGTTGATTCCTGCAGTACACTGTACGATCACATCTGCCGCAGAGCTTTTATTGCTAACTCCTGGATTCCAACTCCAAATCAGGTTTTTACCGTTAAAAATCGGACGCATAAACTATGAACGGCGAAGATTTGATTGGACCTCTGCACCATGGTCCGCGTAAAAATCACAATATTGTAGGATGTGACCGCGCCTACTGGATCACCGCCAACAACTCTTAACGTACAATATTTCTTCACAGTAGTTGAGCAACAATTTCACACAATGTTTATCTATTTAATTTAATAAACTCTTTTTTGAAAATAAAAAATAAATAAATTATTATATGATTATTTATCATCCAATAATTTTGTTGAGCTACCTATTTTTCATTTGACTCGTTTTTTAATAGCGCCCTGTCAAATGGGCACAAGCTAAAATACACTTTTTTATTTATTCTTTTTTTTTAGGGTATTAGGTTTCGTTCGAAAATTTATCAAGCTTGCATTTTTTGGTAGCAACGGCGGGTTCCTACATTATAAAAAAATACACTTATCTTTTGTTCATAAAGAAGTGCTCGGATGTTTTTGGAAATTTGACCGTTTATTTAAAATATTAAAAAAAATAAATTAAAAATACTTCATTCGTTTAGTTGATTATGTCTATTTTGTTATTTTTGTTTTAGCATTTATATTCTCACTTTTTTTAAAAAAAAAAAATTATATATTTCATCTTATTTAAATTTTTTAATTTTAATTTATAATTATTTTTATTTTAATATTATTAAAAAGATTTTAAGATATTTATATAAACAAGTACTCTATCCGTCCCATATAAGAAGCATCATTTTAATTTCCATAGAAAAATTTAAATGAATAAAAAAAAATGAAAATTATATACTATAATGCCGAGAAAAAAAAAATATTATTCTTTAAATTCTATAATAAAATAAAAGGTATTAATTATTTTTTAATTTGAAAATATAGGACATGTGAATAGACCAAAAATAAAAAATATTGCAAAAAATATTAACTTCAGATAGGTGTTTTTAAAAAATGAGAGCAGGGCCATTTATGTAATTTCGGATATCTGAACGTGAGGCGGTTGCGAAACGCGACTAGTGTAACAGCAACGTAATTTTCGGAGGGTATTTTGGGGAATTCGCTTTGAGGAGCCCACAAAACTGCGACTGTGGGTATCATACGTGGCGACGTGTGGTTGCAATCGCGAGGCGGAGGATTGCTAATCTTGTGACACGTACCCCAGTAAGGAGACTGGATAGGTTTTGCCACGTAGGATGCCAGCGTGGCAGTGCTTGTGTCATGGTCAGCAAACTGCCCCTGCTTTAAGTAGAGACCCTTATCTCATGGTCTTCTGCTTCTCTCTCTCTCTCTCTCTCTCTCTCTCTCTTGCGTTTGTGTGGTAAACTGAACTGTCACGCCAAAAGAGCTCCCCATTACTCTCTCACATCGTCTCTCACGCAGCTGGTTTGTACGTGTGCGGGTGAGTGAGCGAATGATTTTACTTGATGGATGAAGAACTCGCCGGAGATCTGAGTTTTTGCCGGAAATGCAGATTCCGGCTATCGGTGATGGATTTGTAGGGTGTAGGAGGCGTGATGTTGTGTTGATTGGCTCTGTTTTTGCTTTTGTTTTTTTTTTTTTGGTTTTGAAGTGGTGGTGATGAGGTTTTGGTTAATCTGAAATCAACAGGAAAAGCAATTCTGTTTGTAATTTTATGTGGCAGATTTGCGAAGTTATTCCATGCTTTGTCGTGCAGTTAGGATTGAGTGATGGATTGGTAGTCTGTAGGCATATTTGCGGCTGATTGTTGCTGAGTTTTGAGTTTTTGGAGATCGAGCAGGTTTTGGCTAAATTTTCTGTTTATGTTTTGATTGAGTGTGGTTGATGAGATTTTAGGATTGTTAGCATCAATCATCCTTTGGTTGCAGGATGTTTGAGGATCGTTGTTCTTCTTCCTTTGTTGAGGAGCTGTCATCGGCGATCTAGATAACACCATATATAACGCTAGAGATTTCGAGAGTAATTTGATATCGCCGTAGAATTTGAAGTTAAACTGATACTGCTCTGTTTGCGCGGCGGAAAAATGGAGGTTGAATACTGAAAGCTCAACGAAAACTTTTCTGTTCGAGCTTCAACAACTGCGTGCAGCTGAAATTAATGCCTTACGCGATGAAAATTCAACCGATTGATTTCAACCACGCATCGGAGTTGCAGCCAAAATCAGATGCGGCGGCGAAGCCAATTTCCAAGTCGCGATTGAAGCGGCTCTTCGAGAGGCCGTTCTCCAATGTTTTGAAATCGTCGTCGCCGGAGAAACAAGCCGGCGCTACCGAGCCAATAAATGACTGCGACAAGGAAGGTCTCGAGGAGTTTGAGCCGAGCTCGGTTTGTTTAGCAAAGATGGTTCAGAACTTCATGGAAGGTGGAGGCAACGAGAGGCAGCAGAGATGCGGAAGGAAGCGATGCAACTGCTTCAATGGAAACTGCTCTGACAGCTCCGACGATGAACGCGATTCGTATAAATCTTCTCTCAGCCACGCGTGTGACGTTCTCAAGGTTAGATGAATTTCCTGTCAGAACCGTCAGTCGTGTTTCCGTGGTCCATAATTTGACCTAGTTTATCTGTTCTTCGTCTCTGTGGATAATCTTCGTATTTTTCTGACTCGAAATTATCTTCTGAATGTTTTGCAGAGCTTGGTACCTTGTTTGCTCGTCTCTGAAAGGAACCTGCTCGCCGACACTGCCAAAATCATCGATAGAAACAAGATCGGTGCGCGCAAGGACAGATTCTGCCGAAAAATAGTTGCAGACGGTCTTATCTCCCTCGGTTACAACGCTTCTATCTGCAAGTCAAAATGGGAAAAATCCTCCTCCATTCCCGCCGGTAAGCTCTGAATCAAAAATCATCCTCTGTTTATTGTTCTTCCTCGAAAAAAAAAAACCTAAAATTATTCAAACATTCCTGCAGGGGAATACGAGTACATCGACGTGATAATCGAAGCAGAAAGGCTTATAATCGACATAGATTTCAGATCCGAGTTCGAGATCGCGCGTTCAACCAAGGCGTACAAGAACAGCATCCTCCAAACACTCCCTCACATCTTCGTCGGCAAATCCGATCGTCTCGACAGCATCATTTCCATCGTATCAGAGGCCACCAGACTCACCTTGAAGAAGAAAGGTATGCCTCTTCCGCCATGGCGGAAATCCGACTACGTCAAATCGAAATGGCTCTCCCCTTCCTCTCGCATCTCCTCCATTGAAAACAACCTGAATTCTGATAAACAAGCAGCAGCCATAACCAACACAAGTGTGAAGCTAATTTCCGGAGAGAAATTCAACAAGAACAACAGCAGCAGTTCTCCGAAATGGACGCCACCGGAGATCAAGCCAAAGAATTCACCCAAAGGTAAGATCGTTACTGGTCTAGCGTCCGTAATTGACAATAAACCTTAGAATTTTTGGTACCTTTATTTAAACCTTTTATTACAGCCTTAATTCGTCTGGTCCGTTTTTTTCTCATGGGTTTACTAATTCAATAAAATACCAAAATTTCAGACATGTTTCCTTATTACAAATAACAATCACTAATACTATAATTTTGGTTTCAATTAATTCAGTTGCTTCTTCTTCTTTTCCCTCTCTCTCCTTTTTTTATTTTTATTTTTTTATTACTATTGTTGTGTTGCTTGTTTGTGCAAAGTATATTTGGGGAAGCGAAACTGGGCACAAAGCTTTTTGAGCTTATTTAAAGCGTTTCGAGTTTCGTGCGGTTTTTGTCGTATTATAATCATTGCGTTTCTTTCCTACCCTTTCACCCCTTTTTGTGCATCGCTGAAATTCATTACCATCGATTTGTGTTTTTAAAATCGGTATATTTAGGCTCCCGTTACACATTGTTTTAAGTTATTTTACTCATTCAACTCTTTTATTATATTAATTTTTATCTCATATTTTATCTTCTCACACCACCTCATTTTTAAATTATTCTATTTAGAAATTATTCTATTTAGAAATTAGGTAATACGATAGATAGAGAGAGAAATATGAGATAGAGATTAAGTATAATTAATTATTTCATATTTTAGAAATATTGCAGGGTATTTGAGGACGTAAAAATATTGCAGGTATTTAAGACATCCAAAAAAATTTATAGTGAGAATTTAGTTGAAGGATAATTAGTAAATAATTAAAAAATATATTTATAAAAATAATTTGATATAATAAAAATAATTATAAATTAATAATAAAATAATTTAATTAAAATTAAAAATTATGAATTATCAAATTTAATGCAATTACATTTTAAACACAATAATAAATTATTTGGGACAAATCATAATTAATAGCACAAACAGAGATATAATTAGAGACTTAAATCTTGTTTTGAGTGGGTCAATCTGACATAGTTGAAAATTCAGTGTGTGTATTCCGGTATGATCAATCAAATTAAATATTTTATTTAAATATATTAAAAATATACAATAAAAAATAATTATATATTTAATTATTAATAACAAAATATATTTTTTCCTGATAAATTAATTAAAAAAATAAATATTACTATAAAAATAAAAATTAAAAAAATATTTTCATCATCTTAAATATTAATAAAATAATATTTTTCTATATTTTTTTTGTGAATATTTCATTATATTCATTATAAATGTCGTATTCTAGAAACTAAACACGCCTCAACATGCGACGACGGATTTGCAGTTGTCTTCAAAGAATTTTAATTAGATGGGCGTAGCTACACACTGATTTCCAGTTGAACTGAAATTATAGTTGAATAATTTATTTATTTTTTTCATATTGTATTAATGGAAATAAATTTAAAAAATACATTCAAATATTTTAAAGAATATATATCATAGAAATATATTTTCTCCATCTTAAAAAAATATACATTTCGCCTTATTTTGTATCCTTGCTATCCATCACAGAAGTAGTATCATTTTTTATCCATTTCAAATAAATAATATTCATACAATTTAATATATCCATTTATTGATGAAAATCGAAAAAAAGTTTGAATAGAACTTAGTTTGAGAAAACATTTAGGAATATATCTATATATATATATATATTTAAAGTATTGTACTCACCAAATGATTTAGATGAAAAAACAAGGTAATTTTTTTTTTTAATTTTTTTTACACATTGTTTCCAATTATTATTATTTTTTGACATTATGTAACCGATCTCTTTATTATTTTAATTTGATAACCAGAGCTAGTATATAAAACATCACCTAAGTGAATTTTTTGATATAATTAATTCTCTAATGCCGAAGATGTGTACGTGTCATTCGGCTGGCACATCGAAACACACACATCCGCTAGCTATGCAACACTTGACAGTAGAGCTGACCAGACACGATTCAATACGAAATAATTAGGTTTGGATCAAAGATTTCAACTCGATTATGTATACGGATTGACACGAACTCGACACGATAATAAACAGGTCGGGTTAAGGTTGAAACTCTCAACTCGAATTCGACACGACAATCCGATTATAATATATTAATATTGATTAATATATTTATTATATATGTAAAATAATCATAAGTTATTAATTTTCTCATAAATTAATTTAAACTAAATTCAATTTTAAATAATTCAACCTACTTTACGCTCAAATCAATAAAAACTAACATAACACGACATCACAACAAAAAATTATTTAATTTGAATCAAGAAATTCGACTTAATTATGTATACGGGTCAACACGAATCAACCCGAACCCGACATGATAATAAACGGATCAATACGAACCCGACACAATAATAAACGGGTTGGGTTAAGATTGAGTAATTTAACCCATTGAAAGTATTCAGTCCAACACGAATCGATCAATTGTCAGCTCTACTTGATAGACATTTGAAAATTTTCTTTTTAATTTTTTTAAAAATATTGCTCAATTAAAAAAAATAAAAAATTTCTGCCCGCCCCGTTCATTCCCTGTATCACACCGAAAGGCCAGCGAAGATTTTGAATGGATTGGCATTTTAAGTTTCATTGATGAAAAAAACTTGTAAATATGGTACCAATCATTATTGAGATTATAACCTAATAAACACTAGCATTTGTTTCTTTTGCCTAAAAATATGAGATTTTTACTATTTTGATATTTTTTCATTTAACTGAACATCACATTATTTTAATATTAAATTCAAACCAATTATTTTTTAAACTCATAAAAAATAGGTAATTCAAATTTTTATATGTTATTATAGTTATATGGTCTAAAAATATATTAGTATATAATTATTTTATTTTTCATTCCTTCGTTGATGACCTCCTTCCATTTATTGTTTTTTATTATCATTACTCTGTTTGTCCCATAATAAAATATTTATTTTTTTATTTTGGTCTGTGGATAAGAATCTATTTCCTTTTTTTTTTTTTTTTTTTAGTAAATGTACTATTTACCTAATATTATAAATATTCTTACCATTTTCAATATATTACACAAATACCATTATCTTTATATCACATAGTACTAATAAAGTCATTTTAGTTATTTCTACTTTATTCCTACTATATCCCAATATAATACTAATATTTTTAAAATTCCGTATAAAAAGTAAATAGATATATAATTATGGAACGAACGAAGTAAATTAAATAAAAAACTCCATCACATTAAAACTAAAAATAAAATTAAAAATGCTATTTAACCAACAACCTATATCTAACTGCCCCTCTCTCTATATATATATATAAATGAAAGAAACTTATTATCAATTTCAATTTTCCCTCCTCACTCACTACTCACTCTCTTTTCCTCTATTAACTTCCTTCTTTTTTCCTCTTCCCTCCTTGACTATCGATTTTTTATCGCCATACGCTCTGACCAATTGAGCTATATATCCTTCCATTTCCCTCCTTTGACTATCGATTTTTCATTTCCACACGCTCTAACCAATTGAGCTACTACATCTTTGCCTTCGACTAAAATGGAGAGATATTCTCGTCCTCCTATGGCCGCTTCTTCCCTAACCATCGCCAAGTCGAAGAAGCGGGGCAGCTACAACTGCCGCCTCTGCGGCTTGCCCAAAAAGGGCCACAAATGTCTTGCTCAAATTTCCTTACTGTCTATCGTCTCCACGCCTTCCTCATTCGCCCCTTCTTTGCTGAAGAAGGACTCTGTCGCGGCGCGCCGTCAAGTTACATTTGGCGAGGTTACTTTAATGAACAATGATAAGAAGATTGATTCGGAAGGCGATTTCAATCCCCATGGATTGGTCACTTTTGCGGATGAGCTGGAAAATGATCTGATTCATGATTTAGAAGAGGATTTCGATGATCCCAACGGAGGATTGCCGACGAATTGCCTTCGGAAGATTTTTGAAAAATTGCCGCCAGCTGGGGTGCTTTCTGCTGGTGGAGTTTGCAAGTCTTGGAGGGAGGCGAGTCTGAGAATTTGGCGCGACGCAGAAGAGCTTCGGATTAAGGTTCCGAAGAAGAAGAGGCCGATGGAATTCATTGGATCGGTTTTGCAGAAGTGCCCTGAGCTGCTAAGACTCTCCCTCTTCATGGAAAGGTTAGAGAAAGATCGATCGATTGATATTTTGAGAAGATGACTCAGATAAGTCTATCCTTTTTTTGCAGTGATTTTGATGCAACGATGCTCGCCTGCATTGCCTTCTCCTGCTTCGAATTGCAGACTCTCGACATCTCTATGTCTCCTTCTTCCATCAATCGAATTACTGGGTACGTACTCAATCGATACTTAGTAACTTTAATATACATAGGTGAGCAAAATATCCGAAATTCGAAAATTCGATCCGAACCAAATTGAATTTTTGACAAATTTGGAATTTTCGGATCGGATCGATATACTTAAAATCCGAACCAGAAATCCTAAATATAGCATTTTAGGTGTGTTTGTTTGGGATTTTGGATTTTGGGTTGGATTTGAATAGTAAAAATTTTGAATTTGAATAGTTGTATAATGTGATATAAATAGGCGTTGATGTGATGTTTTGAATATAAAATTAATTTTTAATATAATATAAAAAATAAAAAATAGGTGTTTGATTTGATATTTTTTTGGGGAAAAAAATAGAATGAATAGTGTATTAAAAATATTATACTCCCTCCGTCCCATTGAAAGGTTTAGGGATATTGCACTTTTTAATTTAGTAATTGTACTATCTACCTAACATAATAAATACCCTTTCAACTTACACTATATTAGACAAATGTCATTACTTTTATATTACACAATACTAATAGGGATATTTTCGTCTTTTTTACTACAACTCGTTATAATACTAATATTTAAAAATCTGTCCAAAAAGCAAATGACAACCTTACACCGGGACGGAGGGAGTATATTAATATAAATAAAAACTCAAAATTATTAATAATGTTTTAATATATATAATTTTATATATTATATATATATAATATTATAAAACAATTATGAAATTTAAAATATTAGAATTTTTTCAGAATTTTCGATTTGGTTCGAATTTTTTAGTTCGGATTTCGATTTGGATCGGATTGATTTTTTCAAAAAATTCAAATTTTTGAATTGGTACGGATTTTGCTAAATCCGAACCGAAAATCCAAATGCTCACCCCTAAATGGTACATACGTCGCATACTTTTCATAAATAAAATTGCATTAATTCTGATTCAGGGATGAGCTGAGTCTGTTTGTGTCCGAAGAAAGAAGCCTTACCACTCTCAAACTCGAAGGCTGCTCTAATCTCAGGGGATTCGATTTTACTTCGTCTAGCCTCGAAACCATTTGGCTATATGATCTTCATTCTATCTCGCAAATGGTAATTATATTCGCATTCATTCGATGTTTCTGTCGAATATTGCAAGAAATATTTATCTGATATGGAAATTTTATATGTTCTTTACATTGTTATCCGCAGATTTTTAGCTGCCCAAATTTAAGGGAGATTGCACTAGATTTTTGTTGTCAAGAAAAAGATACAACTGATCTTACTTCAATAATGGCGAATATCGGTTGGTGCTGTCCGAAGCTTCAAAATATTCATATCGCTTCGACTTTACTGTCGAATTCAGCTGTGAAGGCTCTCTCTTCTGCAAACTTGAGGTGTATCTTCTAAACTTTGTACTATCTCCGTCCGATTCTAAGGGTTCCGTTTATTTTTTAATATCTTAATATTAATTATTATTTGAAAACGAGTAGTACAAATCATGAAAAAATGAGAAAAATACTTTTATATTAGTGTCTAATAATTAGGGTTAGTAAAAATTAACCGACCTGAACTTGATTGAAATAATTGGGTTTGGGTTGAGATTTTTGACCTAATTAATAATTGGGTGAAACCCATTTAATTAAATGGATCTGATTAAGGTCTAAATTTTCAATTTGAAAATAATCCGTCTAACCTTAAGATTATTTTAAATTTAAATATATTTTCTATATTTTACCAATAAAATTCAATATTTATGGCCAATTTTATAAATATAGGAAATAAAAAAAAAAATAAAGAATTGTGTTGTGTACTGTGTAGTGTAATGTTAATTCGACTTTTGAATGTTTCATGATATGAATAAATAACTTTTGTTTTAAGATGTATATATGTTATGCATTTGAATTTTTTTAGTAGAATTATTATTTTAAATTAAAATTTTAAGAATTTTAGACTTAAACAGGTTATTTAGGTCACATTCAGGTTGACCCGATTAATAAAATCTCATGCTAAGGTTGGAAACATCAACCCATTTAATTAAATGAGTCAGGTTCAGGTCAAAGGTTTTGTAACCCGTTTAAAGCTGACCTGAACTTGAACCACATGACACGACCTGATTCGTTTGCCAGCCATATTTATAATACTATTATAATGATATTTATGCAAAAAATTATACAAATATAAGGATATTTTTAATGTTAAGGACAATGGCGCAAAAGGTAAATGAGACCCTTAGAGCTGAACCGATGAAGTATTTGAATACTTTTAATTCCTTTCCATTCGGAGTTGCTAATATTTGATGGTGTTTCAATGTTTCAGGGAGTTGCGAATGCTTTCTCTTCTTTTTGGATCAAATATAACCGATGTTTCGGTTGCTGCTATTACCTCAAGTTTTCCCAATTTAGAATTGCTCGATCTAAGCGGGTATGTTTTGTTTCTTTTTCTTTACCGTTGATCGTTGATACCATAATGCTACATTAACTACGAATCGATGATATGTTTAAATTTGCTTTGTTTTCATTGCTTTATTTTAGGTCGAGCATAACTGACAGTGGCATCGCAATGATATGTCATATTCTTTCCAAAACACTGTCGAAACTTCTACTCGCACTCTGTCATAACATCACTTCAAGTAATATTCGTTTATTTTGTTTTGGCCCTTTAGTAGATATTCATCTTTTATCATCTTATTAAAATTTTTATTTTTGTTGTTATTTATCTGAAGGTGGTATACAGTTCGCCACGGGGCAACTTCCTTCTCTCGAACTTTTGGATTGCGGAAAGACTCTATTATGCGATCATTCGGAAAGGTCTTCGGAAGAAAAGATATATGTATTGTCTCCCGTGTACCAAAAATTATTTATCAAGCATAGCAAGTTGAAGAAATTAAGCTTGTGGGGATGCTCCGGACTGGATGTAAGCTCACTCGTCTTCGACTCTTTTATTTTTGTTGAAAGTGTACTCATGTTATATATTCTTATACGATTTTTTATGTTGCAGTCACTGTATATAGACTGTTCGAGTCTCATTGATTTGAATCTCAACTCTTGTGAAAATTTGCATCCAGGTATTTATTATTATTCCCCGTCCCACTTAATTTGTATATTCCACATAATTTGTTTATTAATTTCTTTATTTTAATTAAACTATTTAGTCATCATAATTTTAATTTATAATTATTTTTATTAAATTATAATTTTTTTAAGTAATACAATTTTTAATTACTTACTAATTAGACAATACTTAAAACTATGTATCTAAGCTAAATGAGACAAAATAAGTGGGACGGAGGAATTATTATTATTATTATTATTATTTGTGACCTCTGTAAATTGCTACAAACTTTTAACTTTCAATCAATCGTGTGTTTGATATTAGAGAGATTGCGGCTTCAATGTCCTAATTTGGAAATCGTAGACGCATCAAATTGCAACGACATACTAATCAAAGCTATAAGAAATCAGGTTTCAGCTAACTATTATTCAACAATTATTCGATATCGATATTATTGTTACATTTGTCCAATTAGTTTGTCAACAATTTTTTTTTTTTTTTTTATTATTAAGGTCGACAATGATATATCTCCTCTTGAAGACCATATTTCGCGTAAACGCATGCCGGATAATTCGAAACGAGTTGGAGTTCCATGTTATAACGCCCTACCGGTAAGAATGCTTCGCTAAAATTGTCTGTGTGTTTTAATGGCAGAGAATTTTCAAATCTCTTGATGCTTGACGATGCCTTATTAGTGTTTGTGTTTGTGTGTTCGGACATACGTCGATAAGGAATGCACAAGACCTACAAAACGTCGTCGTTGTCAGCTTCTGGTGGATTTGTAAATTGAAGTGCAATGTGAAGATTTGTGTTGCTGCCATTGTTAGGGTTTGATTGCTTGCTGCTAGTGGCAACTAACGTTTTGTACATGTATCTGTGTATATACTCCCACCGTCATAATACAATAGTTTTGTTTACTATTTTTGTTCGTTCCAAAATAACAATGTTATTTCCATAAATAACCATGTCCCTATATAACTACATCTACTATTTCATTATTATTACACAATTGTCACTATATTTTACACTAATACACTCACGGGGGCAAAAATATCTTTTACCTATATTTTTTTATCCATGTGTCTAACACAACCAAGACTATAGTTTCGGGAGTGAGGGAGTATATAATTTTCAAAATTTTGGGAGGAAATTATTGATTATAAAAATAAAGAGCCTGACAAAATACAAAACAAACTCGATAAATTTAAATTTAAATAATTTAATCTATGAATAAGATCAAATTTAAATTAAATCTACAAAATCTAAAACTAAATATCTAAAATATCTCGACGAAGAATAAAGCATGGAAGTTTTATTGTTATAAATTACTCACTCCTTCCCAATACAATAGTCATGTTTATCATTTTTGTCCGTCCCAAAATAATAGTCTTATTTCCATAAATAACAATATCACCATAAAAACTACCCCTATTTTTTCATTTTTATTACACAATTGTCACTACTTTTTACACTAATACACTCACAGGGGCAAAGAAGTTTTTTATCCATATTTATTACCCACTACCAATATAATATCAATATTCCTTAAATCGTACCCAACTCAATTAAAACTATATTTATGGGACAGAATGAGTATAATTTATAATGTGAATGTAGAGTTTAAGGATGATTGTTGCTCTTTTAGATGTGTTGAATTAAGAATAAAAATACTTCCTCCCTCCGTTCTAGATAATACGGGACTATTACTATAAATACGTGATTTGAGTAAATTATAATTTTTAAATAATTAAGAAGTGTATTAGTAAAAATAATTATTATATAGTAAAAATAATGATAAATTAAGATTAAAATAATTAAATAATTTAATTAAGATTAAAAAAATTAAAATATGATTTAATGTATAATGACAAATTATATAGGACAGACGAAAATGAAAAAATAAGAACTAATTACGTGGGCGAAGGGAGTATATAATTCATACTTACTAATTCATTTTAGGAAATATTTTTATTAAGATGCATTAGTTATAAAAATAATTATTGTGTGAAAATTAGCACTGAGTTCTAATTAATACATTAAAAAAAAAAAAGAAGATAGATTGTACATCGAAAATTAATTTGAGCGACAATAATAATATCAATATAAAAAATAAATTAAAAATATCAAATATGTAAAATAAATTAAAAATATCAAATATATAAAATAAAATAACATTTAAAGTACAGAACAAAATAAAAGTAGACTTCTTCAAATTTGGAGGGATAAATAAAAATGAAGTTGTTCATAGTAATTCAAGTATTTAAATGATATGATTTGAGTAGTGTATTTAAAAAATAGAAATAAAAATTGAGGTGTATCCTAAAAAAAATTTTCCAAGTAATTTTGAGTTGTGATAATATATGCTCTATTTATTTTTATTATTATTTTTTTAAAAAAAGAATACTATGCAATATAAACCACATTATTTTTAAATTAAAATATTATACCTAATAATTATTTAAACTAAAATTAAAATGCAAAATACAAACACAAAGTTAAAATTATATTCATTTTGTATTTTATAGTAGTAAATGTGTTTTACTAAATATAAAAATATGTATTAATAATATTTTATAATATTTTATAATAAATTATTAATTTTTTTTATGAATAAATAAAATATATATTATATATTGTGTAAATATATGTACATATTATATATTTTATAATTTTAATTAAAAATTATATAAAAATATTTGTTGGATGAAAACATCCAAACCAATTTTTTTGTTTGATTAATAAATAGAAATTGGTATTTCATACATTGAATATTGATATTTAAGTTCATATTTGGATATGACAATGGTGCTCATAATTATTCCTCCATTGTTCTCACTCTTTTTTATTTTCGTTCGTCCAATTTTGTCATTTTTTTTAAAAATATAATTATACATTCAATCATATTTTAATATTCATAATTTATAATTTTTTATTTTAATTAAAATATTTAGATATCTTAATCTTAATTTATAATTATTTTTATTAAATTATAATTATTTTTACTAATATATTTTTTAATTACTTACTAATTACACAATACTTAAAACTCCGTATCTAAATTAAATGGAACAAATTAGTTGGGACGGAAAGAATATTATACTATCAAATACTACTATACAGTGTGATTGTTTTGTGTTTCAATTTTGAAGAAAATTTTTTAATGTAAAATATAGAAATTTATATAATAATATACAAATAATAAGAGTATAATATATTAATTTCTTTTAGAAAAATAAATTGAAAAATTTTTGTTAAATAAACAAATCCGTCCCTATTCAAAGGGATTTTGGAATTTGGTAGAAAATAAAAAATTAATAATATTTTATTAGTTAATACAAATGTGTAAAATAATTTTTATATTTTTGTCATTTATATTTTATATATAAATTAATTATATTTGTAATAGTATATTTATAATTTATGTAAAACTTGAAATAATTAAAAATGTAAAAAAAAAAATGTATTTTCGGTTAAAACATAGAGTATATTTTATTATTTATCCATAAAAATAATATATTTTTAATGTTATATTTATTTATAAAAATTTACTATAATTACTTGTCGACTTAATTTATCTAAAATTTATATACACTCAATTTATCCGTGGATAGCAAAGACCAAAATCAATTGTGAACTCTCTAAATCCAAGCAAAAATAAAGAACTTTACTGTTAAATCACACCTTAATTTTTGTTATTATTTCTTTAGTTATTATTATACTACATCCGTCTCATAAAATTAGTAACATTCGTTTTCTGCACGTAGATTTTTAAATATTAATACTCCCTCCGTCCCGTTGAAAGGGTGGCGTTTGTTTTTTGCACGTAAATTTTTAAATATTAGTATTATATTGGATTGTACTGTTATTAGTATGGTCTAATACAAAAGTAATGATATTTGTGTAATATATTGTAAGTTGAAAGGGTATTTATTATGTTAGATAAATAGTTAATTACTAAATTAGGAAATGATAACCTTATTTTGGGACGGACAAAAATGGAAAATGGTAACTTTTCAATTGACGGATGGAGTATTATATTGGTTTATAGTGAAAATGATAAAAATGCCTTTATTAGATTGTGTGATATAAAAGTAATGTAATTTGTGTAATATATTGAAAATTATAAGAGTATTAAGTATGTTATGTATGTAGTAAAATTAATAAATTAATCTTGTTTTAGAACGGACAAAAATAAATAAAGTAATATCCTTCTTGTAGGACGCGAGAGTATATAACGATATTAATTAAAATGTAAATATTAAATTTGATGAATTGGGCCAGGCTGGGTACGGCCGATTAATTTGTATGTTGGGATATATACGGTCCAAATTTTTTGATCATATCTATTTTTGTTAGCTCTAATTATAATAGAAACAAAAATAGAAAACTAGTTTCCTACTTTGGTTGTGAAAGTGAGCTCTAAATTTGTTATTTATACTTAATCAAATTTCCTCTCCTCAAGATAGTATAAATTTTTACTTAAAAAAAATGGACTAATATTTTTTTAATGACAATAAAATAAAGTAAAATAAAGTTGTATATCAATATCTGCCATTTAAATTTTTAATAACGTTTTTGATCAAATGCATTTTTAATCATTTCTATATTATTAAAATGACAATTTTGATTATTTTTATTAAACATTAAAATTGAATTAATTCAATAAATAATGGATCAAAATTTTTATTTTAAAAATAAAGAAATTAAAATTCACAGAGTTAATAAATGCTAAATTTTCATAATAATTATTACTTTCTCATATCTATTTTATATATTTTATAATAGATTTATAATTAATAATATATTAATAAAAATAATTATAAAATAATATAAATTAAATTAATTAATTAATCTAAAAATTTAAAAATATTGTAAATTAAAAATTTTAAAATAAAATTAAAATGTATAAATTAAAAAAAAAAATGATAAAAATGAGTGCAGTACTACATATCTTATTCAGCTAAGTTAACGACCTTGAATTCGGCTCTCTAAAAAACTCGAATTGAGTCGTACTGTCGAGCTGTCTTCTGGCAACGGCAGATTTTGGTGTCCGCCGCGTTCGATTTTGGTATGGAGGCTTCGTTTTTCTCCACCGGCTGTACACATCTCAAGCAATCTCACTCTGGTTTGTTGTTTGATCGAAGTTCAAACATCTTTATATATTTTTTCCGCGGAATCTCAAATTCGTTCTTGTGCGGTTTTCAATTCACGGTGAACTTGTTGGGAAACTGAGCAGAATTTCTAAAAGAAATCATTCTAATGGTGTTTGTGCCTTTCTAGGGCAGCTATTGGTTTACTTACATCATGAATGTTTTTACTGAATGTAGCCGAATTTGTACTGGAGCGCGGTGGTTTGTGCAAATGGAACCAGGTTCATTTGTTTCCATCGAAGAGGGCGCTGACGCCATTAGTGGTTCAATTTGGAAATTTGAAACAGAATCACTCACAGGTTTTTGTTTTTTTTTTTTTTGTTTCAGTTCAATTTGATCACTCAAATATCGAAGAGAACTGTACACTCTTTGTGATGTTACCTTGTGCATTTTATTCATTTATCTTGCCTAAATTTGTAGATCTTGTTTTAATGCATTATTCTATTTCTCCAGGTTCGAAATTGTCAGTTGAAGGAAGTCCCAATCATAGAGGCTGGGTATTCTTGCTGTTGAATTCCTGCCTATCTGTGCTAATTTTTTCCTCTTACAAGTTTCATGGTTCCTGTCAGGTGCATGGAGGAAATATATGATACTTTAGCAGAACGTGTTGTTCCTGTTGCAGCAGCTGAATCAAATCCCCATTTTAAGTGAGTTCTTGATTATTAATCTGAAATTTTCTGGCTCTATAAACTGGAATTAACTAGATATCAATTGATAGCACATTTGGGGGCGCCTTTGATGTCTGAATCATAGTGAATTTATGTTTCAGCTATTAAGTGTATCTATTGAAACGAAGTCTAGCAGTTAGTATAAAGTGTAATATCCAACAAGGAGTATAGATATTAATAATGATTCTTCTCTTATTATCTAACCAGTAAATGTGAATTAAAGGAGAAATAACACAATGATGTAATCTAGCAAGAAATAATGTTATATTTTTTGCACCATTGATTCTAATTTTTGCAAACTTTCTTATATTTTGCAGTTGCTAATGAAAAATATGATAGGATTTTAAGATCCATTGTCGCTTAACCATATGTAGTTGTTTCACAAGATTTCTTTTATAAATGGAACTAAAACATCCCCCTTGATGAATAGGTATATTGTTGGATTATGTGGCCCTCCTGGCGCGGGAAAGAGCACTCTTGCTTCTGAGGTAGCTAGGCGAGTCAACCATATATGGACCCAAAGGTCTTCTGTTGTTGATTCTCAAGTTCAGCCTCTAGCAGTTGCAATTGTGCTTCCCATGGATGGATTCCATCTTTATCGCCATCAGTTGGATGGAATGGAGGTTAAATCATCTAGATCATCATAAAGAAAAAAATTATCTCAAGTTGCATGCATTTAAATTTTATTATGTATATGGTATTCTGATAATTAGATTTTTCTGCCTGAGTAGGATCCAAAAGAAGCTCATGCAAGACGAGGAGGTGCAGTTTTCTTTATAAGCATTTACTTTAAGCCTTAAATTTATTAGAATCATTATATTTTCTGATTTTCAGCTCCTTGGACATTTGACCCCAAACGACTCCTGAGATGTCTCGGAAATCTACGAGACAAGGTATGCATATGCCAGCTTTGGACGAACCGTACACAAATTAGCTTTAGGAGTTCCTTTGGTGTTGCTATTCAGCTTTTTTATACTATGCTGGATAGCTGCATAATTAGCATGTCATCAGTTGTTTATTGATGAAAAACAATAATTCAATCACATTCCACAGTTACTTATGATATATCTGTTCTATATCTTTTAGGGATCAGTGTACGCCCCATCTTTCGACCATGGCGTGGGAGATCCTGTAGAAGACGACATCTTTGTGAGCCTGGAGTAAGTTGTGATGGCCATATTGTGCATAAAAGTAGTGTTGACGCCAATTTAATGTTGGTTACTACTGAAAATATTCACTAGTTACTAGCCGGGCTTAAAATAAATCGTCCTGTGATAATGTCAGTATGTCATAATTGTGACTTTTCTTCCAGACAACCATTTGTTTTGTTACACTTCTGTTGTTTGTTGCAGGCATAAAGTAGTGATAGTTGAAGGTAACTACTTGCTTTTGGACGACGAGGTGTGGAGAGACATCTCCTCTATATTTGATGACAAGTGGTAATAAAATGCACATCTGATTTTTACTATACACAACGAAAAACCAGCAACTGGTCCTCAATTACTAGCAGAAATCACCTTTATCAATTTTCGGAATTTTGGGATACATCTGCATGGAATGTGTTGAGCTGTTGATAAGAGCCAACCTTTTTCTTTTTTTTTTTGTCATTACTTATAAGTTCCTGGATAAGAGGCATTTGATTCATTTTACCTAAATATTATTGCACTAGAACTTCTTCACTACTTCACTCTATTCCAACAAGTTCCTGATACAAGGCATTGATTCGTCTCTTACCTAAATATTATTGTGTTACTAAATAAAAACATGTAGTTATTGAACCAGGGCATACTGATACAGATTGTAGTTATTATTGCATTACAAGAAGTTGCATAGTATTCTGCGGAGGTTATTTGTTTCTCGACATGGTTCCTGTGGTCTATATGATGCATTCATGAGTAGATGATATTTAACCTTTCCCATTATGCTTTGTTTCCCAGGTTCATTGATGTTGATTTGGAGAAGGCAATGGAGCGAGTGCGAAGACGACATATATCGACAGGTTGATACATAGTTGTATGATCAGTACATCATTAGCAGATATTAACAAAATTTATACATGACTGCTGCTTTTTGATGGCATAGGAAAGCCCCCCGATGTTGCTAAATGGCGGGTAAATGTTGAATTGATCCCTTTTTTCACCTTGCGAGGCAGATTAGTTCAGATTGGCAATACTGATCTTTGTCTCTTGTCACTAATTCATTCTGCAGATTGACTACAACGACAGGCCAAATGCAGAGCTGATAATGAAGTCGAAGAATAAAGCAGATCTGATCATCAAGTCAGTCGATTTCTTGAGGTAAAATTTTGCTAGACTTACATGAATATAAAGCATGCATATTGAGCTATAGAATGTATATTCATGACCAAAAATAAAATCAAAAGTGGCTGAATGCTGCTTATCTGTAGTATATTTATTAAAAGAAGTTTAAAGAAGATTGCATACTTCGTCTCAGTACATTAAACCTTCATTTAGTGAAGTAGATGGATCGAAGAAATCAACAAATAATTTAGATATATGATGGTGATCATTTGGGAGGGCACACGGCATTCGAAGCTAATTACTATTTTTGCAAGGCTTGATGCATAAATTTGGTATACCTGGTTTACTATTATTTATTTTATTTTATTTAGATGTTATTTTCTATATAATTCAGTGTGTAACTATTTAGTTTAACCAACTTTATTATGCAAATATGCTCAACAATAGTAAAAAAGAAAATACTAATAGATACAGAAATTGACAAATTGTGCATAAAATGCTGGTTTTTTTAGATAATCTTGTTGCCAAGCAGCAAGCCCTTTTGCCTCTGTTCCTTTCACTATCCTTAGTCGTTTGCAGGATCCAAAAAAACATCCTGTAATACAGAAAGAAACCAACAAAAATTCATCAATCTGAGATTATGAAGGTTTGAATTCAAATCTTCTTATCATTCAAAGATTCTTGATCTCTGTTAAATAGATAGATGGATGGATGGGTGACTTACTCCCATGGCAAATCTCCCACAAGTATCCAATCTCCACTTATTATCTCACAAGTAGGTTCCATAAAATCCACCATTCCCTGTTTTCAATTTCTTGATTTGGACCAGAAATTTGGGAGGTTTTGGTGGGTCACTAGTTGGTTAGTTAGTGATCGCTATCAAAGTGCACTTTGGGTAAACCCTCAGCAACAAGACTTGGAGGCGTCGTGGTCTGAACCATTACTTCACATTTACAAGTCCATTCCCATACCACTAAACCATTCATTACGGACAGCAGTTAAATATTTTGGCCAATGCCCCAGAAAGTTCTTGGTACCACCGGTTGCCTCCTAAAACAAGAGATTTAGTTTGAAATCTGCGGCTGGAATTCTACCTGGCGGACTAATTCTTTGGACAATTCCGTACGAATTTATTTTTGAACTTCAAAAGTCTTAAACTAGTAAACTTTACTTGGTAATTATCACCGTGAGACTTAGTTTGAACGGATAATGACTATAAACTGTGATGTGAATAATTTTGATACAAAGATGAGAAAAGGGTATTTTTTTTCTTTTTATAACATGGAAATCCGCAGCCGCTATTCGAAAGATGCGCACAAGGTAAACTTCCGATCGAACCTAATACCCTGTAAACTAAGCTCAATAAAATAAGTCATATTAGGCGAATCATGCGTAAAGATAGACTTGGAGACGTTGGGATTTGAACCTATGATCTCGCGGTCACAAGTTCACTCCTATATTTGGGAATATGGGAAAAAGACATTATCTTCAATGAATTTTTGACACGTGGACAAAAGCTAGTGATGTGTTATCGGCCCATGTACAAACAGGCCCAATTGTTGTCAGACTAGATCAGACACCCATTTATACTTGGCCCATATCAAAATGGCCCCTGTGCTACCATATGGCCCAATTATTTGACCCATATTTCATGAGCCCAAACGCTCTTGGCCCAGATCAAACAAAACCCAATTTCTACCAGCCCAACTTATAATCAAACATCTTATTAGTCAATAATAAAACTGAATTTTCAACATTACATCCCGACACAACACATTTCTACTTTCTAGGGCATTTTAGAATATTTGAATTATATTTTTTAATAGATATGTTATTATGATAAAATAAATAATGCAAAAATACAAAAATAAACATCCTGGGTACATTTGAATGAGCTGTGATTGGACACACTAAAGGGCCCACGTTGTCGTTACCAACAACCTTCAATAACTCACACGTGTGTAGCCATCCTTTTCCCTCTCTCCAATTTATCTTTTTTAAGTAAAATATTATATTCATCAAAATTTATGTATTTTTTTTTTTATAAAAAATATTTTTATTTATTTTTAGTTAAAAATACTATTTTTTTTTTATATAAAAGAATTTTTTTCTTTTTTTTACTCATTTTTTAAAAACTTGTGTTAAGTTAAATTGACATAAATTTTGATAAAAAAATAGTAACTTTTTACCATTTCTTCATCCTGCCGAATAAATATACTTTTTTAGAATTTTACAATAAAAATAAAATAAAATTATATTTTATTAGTTAGTGAAAATATATAAAATAATTTTGATATTCTTGTCTTTTATATTTTATATAAATTAAAAATATGTTAACATTAATGTATAATTATTTTTATTATAATAGAAGTAGTAAATTGTTACTTTTAAATATGACAGACAAAAATAATAAAATAATACTTTCAATTTGGATGGAATGAGTATTTTTTACCTTTTTTTATTGTAAATGATAAAAATACATTATATTTAAACTCATGTCAAAAAGTAAATAATTGTATTACCTACCTAATATAATAAATATTCTTTCAACTTATAATATATTACATAAATGTCATTATTTTTATATTACACTATACTAATAAGGGTATTTTTGTCATTAAAAAGTAAATAATTATATATATATACTCCGTCCTCCCCAAAATAAGGTTATTATTTTCTAATTTAGTAATTGTATTACCTACCTAATATAATAAATATTATTTTTTTAAAAAAAAAAAGTGACATAGAATGCGAGAGACGAGGGAAGAAGGGAGTATTATTTTAAAATATAAAATATGATGTCCTAAATTAATAATAATAATAATAATAATAATAAATATGGCGTTAAAGATGGGCATGCATTTTGTGTGGTATTGAAACAGACAAGTGTGTGGATTACATTACATACATAGTGGATTTGCCCATAAAGTTTTAATTTAACGATGTGGGATTAATTATTATTTATATGTCAACACTCTTTTCACTATCACTGCAACATAGATTTAGAGCACTTTCATTTTCACAATTATTAACAAAAAGGATATCGGATTCCAATTTTAATTCCAATTAATTAATTAATGACATGATGACCGTGAAGCTGGATGAACTCGTGATCGTAAAATCATTAAGTTTAAATTTTCGATATTTTCAGTTTTTTTGTCTAAATTTGAATTTTAAATTTTTGGAGTTTTAAATGAAGTCATTGTTAGTACGATGGATCGATGTATTTAGGGTGTGTTTGCTTGGGAATTTGGATTTTGAGTTGTGATTTGAATAGTAAAAAATTTGAATTAGAATAGTCGTATAATGTGATATAAATAGGTATTGATGTGATATTTTGAATATAAAATTGATTTTTTATATAATATAAAAAATAAAAAATATGTATTTGATTTGATGTTTTTGAAAATAAAAATTAGATGAATAGTAGATTTAGGGTAAAATCCCCCAAACAAACACACCCTAACTCAAATATAGTGTTGACAATAACTCAAATATAGTCGGACAATATAAAAAATATATATATAACGTACAGATTATGTTCATATAATATACTCCCTCCGTCCCATAAGTAAATATCCATTTGTTTTTTTTTACGTAATTTTAGAAATATTAGTATTATATTAGGATATATTAGGAATAAAGTAAAAATGACTAAAATAACCTTATTAGTATGTGTTATATAAATATAATGGCATTTGTGTAATATATTGTAAGTTGTAAGGGTATTTGTAATGTTAGGTAGATAGTATAGTTACTAAAAAAGGAAATTAATATTTTGTTATGCGAAGAACTAAAATGAAAAAATGAATACTTTGTTATGGGACGGAGGGAATATTCACCGTATCATTTCATAACATATATAGCAAGTGTTGTATATGTTGTTACAATATGCTGACTAAGACTAATCAACATAATATTTATCAATAGTTCAGTAATTACCACCATAACCAGTCTCTTGAATAATTTTGAAAATAATAAAATAATTTAATATATGATGTGATATTTTATAATCGCAAATAAATATTTTTAAATTTTGTTTGAGTATAGTTTGATATGATATTTTGTATATATATATTAAAAATAAAATGATAAAAAATTGAAAATGAATTCAAAAGGAACATACCTTATTCCTACCATACTATTGAGGTCTACGATTGTGTCCATTTCAACTTTTGGGCACGTCAAATTATTTATTAGACCAAGCAGACATGTCACAAATATTTTATTACTGGTGATCTCAAACTAGCCAACAATTCTGAACAATATCACTTTTAACTAAATAAAAAAATGAATTATAATTATTATTTTCTAAAATCAAGTCAAAGAATATATTTATAAACAATTAATCGAGAATAGTATTATATATAAATTAATTATTATTGTACTGGTTAGGAGGAAATCAATGAATTAAATATTTAATTAATTATATCTATTTTTGCCTAATTGGGCCCACTTAATGAAAGCCCACATGGCATTGCCTACCTACGACCGACAACCCACCGGCCCACGTCACATGCCTGCTCTCTAATTTAAAGTATTTTAAAAATTAAAATAACATTCAATCCGACGGTCACGATTTCTTCTTGTATATCGAGACGATCTCAGCCGTCGGATTGCGAGTCCAGAGCCTTCAATTACGGCGGTTGCCTTTGTCCCACGGATGTTCCCTCCGCATCTAATATTTGCTGCCCTTTTGCCCGACAACAGCTGACCGTCCGTCCGCGCGTGTTGCGCACGCGCACATGTGACTTTGGGGAAACCCCGCACTACGCGCCAGCACCGCGTGGGGCCCACCGCCCCCACCGCATGTCATGAAATTCATGCACACGGGGAATATGCCACCCGCAGTGTGTCGCTAACCCTAAAAATAAATAAATTAAATTAATAAATAAATAAACTACCCTATAAAAACTTTGCCTGCCTGACTTCTTCTCTCACAACAGCTCATTCACATACGAATTGGGGATTTTTCTCTCATAGGTTTTGCGTGGAGTTGAATTTCTGCAGGCTGCTTGTTTTGTTCAGGTTTGAGTTTGGATTTTCGAAGAGAGTGAAGGATTTTAATTGGATTTTTGGAGGAAGAAATTAATGGCGACGGTTTTTGAGAGTGATCTGAATCTGAAGGCGACGGAGTTGAGATTGGGATTGCCTGGGACGGATGAGACGGAGCAGCAGTCGTCGTCGTGTTCTAATGCGAAGAGCAACAAGAGATCTTGTGCTGAAATGAACGATTCAGCTCAGAAAGGGGAAAAATCGGAATCCGGTGCACCAGCTCCAAAGTAAGTTGAAATTAATTTTAATATATCTCATGAAGTGATGAATTGATAATGAATGATTGTAGTTGGAATTGCTTTTTTCTGATGGTGAATTTTATTTGTTGAATATTTAGGGCACAAGTGGTAGGCTGGCCGCCGGTTCGATCTTACCGGAAAAATGCTCTGCAGGCGCAGAAGAAGCCGGAATCCGACGGATCTGGAATGTTGATCAAAGTGAGCATGGACGGAGCTCCTTATTTGAGGAAGGTTGATCTGAAATTATACAACAACTACTTCAATCTTCTCAAGGCATTGGAGAACATGTTCAAGTGCACCATAGGTACGTTAACTAACACTTGATATCATATCTATAATCCAACAGTTTGTTGCACTGAATCATGACCAAACAACTAAAATCTCTTCTGAACAATTAATCTCAGGTGTGTACTCAGAAAGAGAAGGCTACAACGGATCTGAATATGCACCGACATATGAGGACAAAGATGGAGATTGGATGCTAGTTGGAGATGTTCCATGGAACATGTTTGTGACTTCCTGCAAAAGGCTGAGGATCATGAAAGGCTCTGATGCTAAAGGCCTCGGCTGCCTATAGATCGATCCATTTCTGGATTCTTTCATGAAAGCAAATTAGATCAGATCTACTACACCCCTGGCCGGATGCATGATCCAAGATCATACGGCAGGCAAGTCTTTATATATCTTCCAAGCTTTCATGGCTAGATGTTCAGTTCTGTGACAAAGACTGCACAGGAATCAAGAAAAAGGACCAACACCATATGTGTACAAAAATATAGGCAACTTTTGATATTAATTCATTTTGTTCATCGATCAAATTTCTTTTTTGTTTACGTTTTTCTTTCACATAAGCTGTCATACTTTGCAAGATCCACACTGTATTATTTTATTATTCAAATACAAATTACAATATATATATATCATACAGTACAATTTATTTTCCAAAGATCTTTAATTTCTCCATACATTTCTTGGAATATCAGTCAGATCTGACAACAATATTTCACAAGATCCAAGAATTTAAACTTCAGATCAGATCTTGATTTAAAGAGGGTTACAAAAATAAAAAGGTATTGGAGCAGACACCTATACATATTTCCTGGATCTGAGAATTTTTGATTGAGTGATGTATCGATCTAACCTATACTATTATACCAAATTAATTAGGTGATTTGCATAATTATTTGGTGCATGAAGAGTATATATTAATTACTAATAAATTAAAAAAAATCGTGAGGGACTAGTCTACTGCTAATTAATATGTATGTATGTATGTATTTATATATACTCCATTTTATCTTTCTTTCTTTCATGGAGTACAATATTACAACAAACTTTTATATGGAATATTTATGTGGTATGGTCAACACGAGGCTTTGCGTGTATGTGTTTTCATCATTGTTTTAGAAAGACCGCCAGCTACCATACATTAATTAATTGTCTCTAATAAACTATTATTATTATTATTATTATATCCATACTATTTTCAAAATAAATATATATAACAGTCACCATACAGCACTAATCCACCCAACTCTCAGGGGACATTAGGTTTTGTTCTTTTTATGGGTTTTTACTGTTTACTAATTGGATTTTTTTCTTTAAAAACAATATCATATCAAATAATTATTTTTTTATATTATATTATAAATTATTTTATATTCAAAACGTTATTTTATACTTTATTTTTATCACGTCAAACAACTATTTAAATTGAATATATTCTGTTCATTAGTTGTATTCTGTTCATTTTCATAAGTATTAGATACAAGTCGCTTGTATCAATATGGGCCTAAGAGACAAAAATTGGAATAATTGGGCCTTCTAAGGAATAATATTGGCCCGGCCCCATAATTTGGATTTCTTTGTCCATTTCTAATCATTATGAAAGAAAACTCTTGAAGCCCTTACCATTCAATTGAAACGTTCATTAAACGATTCAAGACAAGTCATATTATATATATAACATGAAAATTCGCAACCGCTACTTGACCCGATCGAACTTAATAACATACAAATTAGGCCAGACAAAACAAGCCAGCATCTCATGACATGGAAAGACAACCAAGATCCCATAGATGATTTCTTTTTTTAAAAAACAAAAAAAAAAAAAAAAAAAAAAAACTTCCAAGAGAGTTTTTTATATGTATATTTTGTTCTTTTTAATATCTATACTTTCAACTTTAATATCTATATAGTATTATATTGTCAAACTGTCACATATATACTCCTAATATTTATTGAAGTAACACTACTTATTTTTTTTATTCTTTTTATTTTTTAAAAAACAAATATTTATACAAAAAAATATCAAAGTATGCTTTTTTCGGAGGTTTGAACCCTTCAAAATTATGAGTCCACTCCATTAAATTTTTTAAAAAATATCATATCAAACGTATATTATTCAGAAAATATCACATTACATCCTGATCTTTTATTATTTCAAAAAATATTCAAAACTCTAAAACTCTCTACTTAAACGAAACCTTAGGCCTTATACCAATAGCAATTATATTTATGGTAACTCAAGCATGATAAATTGAACCCAAACTTGATTATATTTGGACACGAGGCCAGAGTTAAAAGTGTATAATACCATGGGGAGTTGGCCACCTTTCTTCCAAATTCCAACACGGTCCAAGTCGTCTGCTATAATTGTATCACCTTTTTTCTAATGTCCCCTAAATTTATACATAATTTATTTATAACAAACAATCTTATACACCTAAAATAACAAATAATAATCAATTTGTTACTATTTTTTCTACATATCATATCATATTTTTATTAATTTTTTATTAAATTTTCTACAATACCTTCACTTTATTTTTTATCTGTAGTACGAAAGTACTGACCGATTTTCGATAGAAGCATAATCCATTTTGGATATATACAGATTTAGTTTCTCTTTGGGTTAGATTAAAACTAAACCAAATTGGGTCGGATCGAATTAGGGTCAAGCGGGTCGAGCTTAAAAAAAAAAAAAAACCCAACAACCTACCTCATTTTTATATTAAAATATTATTATCTTTTAATATCCGTGCTTAAACATAGTGACATAATTAGCCTCGACAGAGTAAGTATATAATACTGAACACATAACTAGTCCAATGTTCAAATAATTAGACCATATCCCAAATAGATGAATTAGATCTCAGTTCAGGTCTTAGGTCTATCCCGACCCATTTCATCCCTTACAAGAATCTATACTCTATTTCAGTTGTATGTATGCTGAGATTCTAATCAAAATAAAATATTTAGACTAAAATTAACATGACCAGATAAATAAAAAAAATGAACTAATATGTTCGAAAGAGGGAGCAAAATTGTCAATTTGAAAATATAGGAAGCTAAAAAATTGAAAAGATAAGGTTAATAATTTGCACTCTCTCCGGCTGCATCTAAAGGTCACATTTGACTTTTGCATCATTATATTAACATTAATAATATCTTTATATTTGTATAAATTTTTTTTTTTACAAATGTCATTTTATTAGTATTATAAAACACTAATGTAAGTATTTTTGCAATTTTTTCATAATATGTACTACGTTTTTTGATATAATAATTAATATTCAAATATCAAGACGCAAAAAATAAATGAGACCCTTAGAGCCTAACGGAGACAGTGTTAAAAAGTTGTACTTTAAATAGTAACATTTTCACATACAAAGGCATACATTCTAAGCGAAATGTAAGAACATCAAGGGAATGAATTTAACTTCTTTTTTTTTACCGTAAGAGAAGCCGGTGATTGTTTATATTGCCGTTGTAGTATGCACGGCATTATTCCGCATTCTTGAATTGTCCATAAAACACATGGCTCAAAAGTCTCCACTTTCGAGGAGTTCTACAAGAACAAGTTAAAAATACACATAACAAGCAATGCAATCTGATTAAATATTATAAGCAATACTTTAGTATCTTCCCGAGGCAACTGATTCTGCAGAGAAGAGGTATTTGACTCGAGAAAGAACAGAGTCATGCGCAGGATCATATGGATGATCCTTGGAAGGGATCTCCAAGATTGCGGGGACGGGTTTGTTGTAGCTGTCTACTAGAAATCTTATCATATTCGCAACCTGAGATGAATGGATCAGATCTTGAATTTGTGGCGACAGATAATTGAATCAAGAAACGAGCGTAAGGAAGAGTGTGTAAAAGCTTACATATTGGCTGATCATCACAATTGCAATGTCTTCTCTTGTAGTGAATTCTTTGAATGTATCCTCGATCTGTTTCACAGTTGTTTCTAAACCAAAAGGGATAATGTTAATTTATTAAACTGGAAGCACATCGAGAAGCTCAGGTAAAGATTTCGTGCATCTTAGTATGAACAAATTAGGCAGCCATGTTCATCAATACAGTAAACCATTTTTGCACTTCCAAGAATTTTTAATGAAAGAGTAACCGGTAATTGTTTGTCATTTCCTCAACAAGAGAACAGTAAAACATGGCATAAAGTTCAAATCGACAGGATCCCAAATTTAAAAGATCATTAATTTTCACAAAGATTCTGTTATCCAGGGTCTGTTCAAGGTTTAAATCTTAATATTTCCAAAATTTCACATGTTTAGGACATGGCTGAGGGTATAGTTATAAACTACACATACTTGCAAATGAGAGTTCATAGCACAATAATTACTGAACACTAACATACTTCTCTGTTTAAAAGCATGAATTTACAACCACAACCAAAAGAAACCATGGGAATCTTTTACTCACTAAAAGAAGTGAAACTAACAAACATATTGCTGAAGACTCATGGCTTGTTCATCTCATACTATGCAGATTGTTCCCCTTTCCCGGGAACAATAATGACTAGAGCTGTTTTGCAGTTGTGGAAACTATATTTGGTTGTTGATTATACTTTGCAACAAATGTCAGACAGTTTTTTTTTTTTTTTGACAAGATGATTTTAGAACTAAGACAACCATCAGTCTACAAAGTGGAGCCACAAGGACATATTCATGATAATTACTTTGTGGGAAAATAAACATAAAAATGCATACTTGAGTCCACAATGAGGTAATTTGTTTTCCTCCTCAAATCGACATTCCCGACTCCAGCAAGCAGAAACCCGGTGACCGTGTCCTACATGACCAAGATTGTACCATCAGACAGGACACAGTGGAATGAGCCCTAATTGCAAAAGAACCAACTAAAAAAGTATTCTAACAAGCAAATCTACATCAAACAACTTAGCCCAAAGAACTCTGCCATATTAAGGCAGAGATTAGTTCACACAAGTATCAGAGGAATGATAGCAGATTTACAGTATGCTCTAATATCTGTTGGCACATACATAACCTATATTGATTAATTCGTCATTGCATAAATGTTCAATTGACTAATGTCTCAACCACCTACAGCAATTCGGAAGTTGAAGGCCAGTAAACCAGAGAGATACTCAATTCTGCGGCATCGCATACAGAGCTTATACAACTGTGGTTGACTAAACTGTTATGTAGTTTATCTAATACCGTCGCCACAAGAACAACTAGAATCATGAAAATGGTATGGAAAACGATTGAAATAATGCTAGTTCAATCTGAAATCAAGTAGCTAATGAAAATTCCTCAATACGTCACGGAATCTGCAGAAGTACTACACATAAATCGGACAATATCGAGAGAAAACCTAAATCATGGAATAATGAATAAAAAACAGTACCTCGTCGGCGATCATAGCTATGAGCGCGGAGCTACTTGTGCGGATCTGAGGCTTGTTTGCCATTGCTAAAGTAAACTCGAACAAATACTAAATCTGCTAAAGCGACAGGAATAAGACGATCAACAAACCAATCATACCAATCCTAAAGGCAGGAAAAATGTCTTCTGAAGGATCCACGATCATGGTTTCATACACGCAAAATCAAATTTCCAACAGTCGCATTTGGAGAAACAGTAGATTGATAATCGTACCTGTCGAAGACTGGAATTGAGCTCGGATCGGAAGAGGTAGAACGCTCTGAGAACACACAATAATGAACAAAATAACGAAAAATAGGATAAAACCATTGTCCATCCGGTTTACGGTTCCAATCATTTTTCAAAAAGTAAACCGGCTGTTCGATTATTATTATTATTATAATATATCCGTTTATAAATATACAATCGTTAATATAATATATACATTATTTACTAATAAAAATAAATATTAAAGCAAAATATTATTTTTTATATTATTAATATAATTCTCCACATACATTTAGAAAATCAATATGAATGAACAGGCTAATTGTTTTTACAATAAAACCAAACAAAATTACTTTTACATTAATTTTAATTATCAAATATTTATATTTTTATTTATTGTATTATATCAAATTTTATCATCAATATTATATATATTTATTTTCTTTACTATATATTGTACTACTATTATAAATCAAACAAATTAAATTATTTGTAATCCAACTTCCAACTTAAAATACAACGCACAATCAAACATACCCTTAAAGAAGATGGTCTTTGACAGAGTGGTAAGAGTATATTTATTTTGTATTTTTAATAAATATACTTACTCCCTCTCATAACAAAGAATCCATTTTAGTATTCATTTCTTTTTTTGTCCATCTATAGATATGGTAATCTTATCCATGTGAGGGTTTTCATGTGCAATTATCCGTGGAGAATGTTAGTTTAATTAATTAATTAATCATATGTAAATTTTAATTATTTTTTAATTTTATATATTGTACTATCTACCTAACATTACAAATACTCTTACAACTTACAATATATTATACAAATGTCATTATGTCACACATACTATTTTTAAAACTACGTACAAAAAACAAATTGATATTTAGTTCCGGGACGGAGCTAGTATTTTTTATTAACTTGCAGTTTGAACAATTTGGTGGTGAAGGTGAAATCCAAATAATGAATGAAGCAGAAAACACTAGTTCTGTTGCTTGCACAGTAAGATCTAAATCAAAGAATAGAAAGTCCTCTGCTCTCAAATCCTCATCAACAACGTGGGCATGGCATTGATAATTCTAACGCAATTCCGATTCATAGTCCGCAGTAGCCTAAGTATGTATACATGTGCTGTATCTGATGTATGTATCTGTCTCCCTTACATCTTGTATTTCTGCAATAAATACAGATTCCGATCGCCGGAATAGACCGGCATCTCATTCATTCCGATCTTCGTTTATCTTCCCTACTGCTGTGGACAGGTAACGACCAACAAGACCCCCGTTTTCGACTTCTATAGCATCGCCAGTAAAGCACTAACACCGCAGCCATAATGCTAACATGGATAGCCCATCTGCCGTGAAAACGAACGAAACAAATGTGAAGAAACTGATGTTGGTCGACTCCATAATAAATAAATAATCATTATTAGAGCTTAAACTCTTAAGTGAGATGATAATTTAACATAGTTGATTTGCACAAAATTCATACGTGATTTTACAAAATTGCGCCAAATCCTCAATACTTCTAAAAGTTCGTCAAAGTTCCTCGTGGTTTCATAAACTCTACGTTTAACTCCTTCCCCAGTCCTTATTTAAGGGTATTGGACCTAAATGCTCATAAACTGCGAATAAATTTTAAAAAAACTGAATATATTTGTAATTTTATAAGTTTAGAAATTAAAATATATTCGCAATTTGGCAGAGTTTATGAAACAACGGAGTTGTTTTAGAAATATATGAAATTTGGCTCAATTTCATGAAAGTACAAGTAGATAATTTAATATAGTTGACTTCATAATACATAAATAAATAAATAATTGTAACCCTTTAAGCTTTTAAGTGAAACGATAGTGGTTATGAAAAATCTCGCACATACTACCAGAGTTTATACCTGTCTAAATCGATGATAGGGCTGTAGACGAAGGCTTCCCAAGTCCGCACAATGGCATGCCACGCAGGATTGTAGTAAAGAGATTCCGAAGACCAAAACAATCGCGTGTACGTCTCCAAGAATATGAAAATCAACCAAGCACCTATCTCGATCATAACAAACTTGACGATGAACCGACCAACAACCACCATGGCGAGGGAGAACGCCACAAACCAATTGAACAGCCTGTGGTTGTATTCTTTGATAAATTGAGACCTTGACTTCCCCAACATCTGCCATTTGCGGAATTGCGTGAGCGAAAAAACAGCTATTCAATTCAGATTCTAATAAACGGAATATACCTTAAGATATCCGAAAATAGACTTTGGTGAAGCCAACATAAAGATATATAAAATTAAGCAACCGAAAGGATAATAATACTACCTTTGTCATCCGTATCTCGTAGCTTGCTTTAGAAGGCCCGACACATTCTCTTTCAAAACTTTGGTTGCACCGAAAGAATCCCGCGTTAAATTTAGCCATAGATGGAAGTCTGAGAGATTGAAGCTGGTCCATTTTTTCTTCACATCTAATGTAAAGTGCCTCGCACAGCTTCGAAGATTGGTATTCGTTCGACAGAATAAAGTTCTTGAATGCCTACAAAGATCTCCGAGTAAGCACTGACATAACAAAGAGATTTTCGTCGAGATCATGTTTTGATTCTTCGATTCATTACCTTATCAATTTCTTCGGCTAACATCTCGGATGATCTCTTTGCATGATGTCGACCAAAACGTTGCTGATCAAAAGCCACCATTGCAGCCTCTTTGGAGTTATCATGAGCCTGTTGGAGAGACGACTCTGATGTCGGCAAACCTACATAGCTCATACGATCAGTGTATATTTTCAAACAACGCTGCACGACATCTTTGTTGAAGACCTCCACAAGGGAGCCAGTCGATGGAATCTCTCCTTCATTTAAGGCATTGAGAATCTGGAGGACGAATTTATTAGGAAAAGACGATAAACATAGCATTTCAAGTAGCAGAAAAGGTTGCCCATCCTTTCTTACATTACAACGTCTGCAAACATATCGAAGAAATAAAATAATGGCTCGACACGTATAGTTAATAAAGCCGCATCAAATGTAAGTAGCTTTAACAAATCTAAGTATTGCACCTGCTTTAAAAACGATACGAATTCCTTGCCATTGAGAGTTTTACCCTGGACAATCTTCGGACGCATCATAGAAGAAATCTCTTTTCTCAATGTACGAAGAATCGAGTTCATCATCCTTCAAGTCACATAACTTTGTGCGTTGGAGATGGGGCTGTACCAATGATAACTTGGTGATATAAATTCAGGGTTTAAATAATATGACTATGCAAGCATAGAGTCAGCAGCGGATGATAAATCTAAAGCACTAAGAATCGAATGACGTTAACATGTGAGGACTGAAGAATGAAGAACTATAACAGATTGTGACTAAAATTTTTAAGTAGTCATTTAGATCAAATTCAAAGACCGCAAGAGCGTAAAGGAAGAAGACTCATCAAGTTGAATACAAACCCAAACCTGAGGTAAGCTGAAAGCTGTGCTGTTGTCACCCATGATCGCCAAAGAATCGCGAATCTGGTTCACCTAAAATAATTATTCATGAAAAGCACGACATGAAGACTCTAATGTCAAAAAAATTAATGATCGATTAGGAAGCTGATGGATCGTGTTTACCTTATCTATATTCTTGTCCCCTGCTCAAGATACGCATTCACAGGAATCTTGTTGTCAGTTAAACCTCGAAAACATTTGCATGAAAAGAAAAACAAAAAAAAATTATGCATAAGGCTTAAGAAAACTGACCATTGGTATTAGGGACCTGTTGGAGAGCTTCAGTAACCATCTGTTGGACCGACTTCCCTTCTGAAATTGCCAACAAATAGCTTCAATTAAACTTATCAGTAAGCTATATATACATATATATATATATGTATGTATGCGTTATAAAGATATATACACACACACATGCATCTTTATCATATTATGCACAAGTGTGGGAGGCCTATAAAACGACTAATATATAGATTAGTATTCTTAGTAGCTTACGCAAAAAATCACGCTGGATTAGCCACAACAACTTGGCAGGTTCAAAAGCCACATCTTGGCCCTGTGACAACAAATGGATAAGTTGGAATTTTTAGGCAGAGAACATTGATACAGAATTTAGGTGTTAGAGAAATAGTACGTAGATTTACCTTTACCCTGTTTTTCGTCAGCACCCAGGAAGCAGAAATAAGAGGAGAAAAGAAGTCTCAGAAGAACTAAGTAAGAAATGTCAAACCTAAGTTAAAATAAATCATAACTAAAAACTTTTGCTTAACTTTTTTTTATTCCGACCTTCCATAGAATTCTTCAGCAAGCTCAACAGCAAATGATAACCGAGATATATCAGCTTCACGTATCTACACAGAGCACAACCAAAAGAAACAATCAATGAAGACATTCCATCTTAGGGATGTTTACAGGAAAGTGACTAACGGTCTCAGGCAGATTGTATATAAGCACAGAACTCATCACAGTTGCAAGGGCAAAAATCCTGTCAAACAAGAAGTGAGAAATCAAATCAAATTTGGATTCAATGGCAGCATTTCAAAAAATTTAAACTAATCAATTAAAATTTTATTAGAAATAATCATCAGGTAAACCTGTCATCGTATACATTTGACTTCCCAACACTTTCAAAACCCTCAGTATCAAGATAAAAGACTGAAGTTTTAACTCCACCAATATGCATTTCTACAGGAGCTCCCCACACCCATATGCCTTTAGAAACCCAACATAAGATTTGAGCAACATGTAGCATGATGGCCAATTGGTTGCAAGCATAAGCAATCATTTACGAATTTCTAGCACAGACCTTTAGTTTTAGTATCACGCAAATGCCCAACACCAAAACCTGCCAAGTTTTGGACGTCAATTCAGGAGTAATAGAAAAAGTGCAGAAAACCAGTGGTGAAAATGTGTAAAGCAAATTTATGAAATCCACCTTCATAACATGATAGTGAAAGAAGCTGATTGAGTAGAAATGATTTTCCAGAACGATATGGACCAATAACCTGGTATGGTCATACAACTTTTTTAGATAGGAGTTGAGATACTAATCAAATGCACAACTGTATAAAATTTTGAATAAGTATGTTAAGTCAAGTTTAGTTTCTGACATAAATAAGTAATTCTTGCTGGAAGTGTTGTCACAACAG